AGTTACACCTGGCTATAATAGTTCATTCATTTGAAAAGTTCTTACACTGTTGGAAACCAACTTCAAAAAACATATTTTTTTCAGCTCTAGTATCAAGGAAAGATTTAAACCTGCTATTTTTCTCCAAGTTCTTTCATAAAGCATGCAAGAAAAGGGAATACAGGGTGTCTGGGATGTTAGCTATTCTTGTAGGTATTATTATGGGAGATCATCTATGAAACTTTCTTTGCTGCCCTGTAATTTACACCACTGCTGCTGGTAATGACTGTAAGATATATGTGAGCAGCACTAATGGGTATGGATCACTGTTCCCCTAGACTGCAAATAAAAGGAGCACAGGGAATGATGACACTGTATGATAGATCAATGCAGCTGCAGATTGGTCCTTAGGCTATTCAGGTTATTTTCCTTAAAAGGCATCATGCCTCACACATTCTGCTGAAGGCTATCCATTCAAGTTCATGATAGCTATTCTTAGACATTCCTTCATTTTTAACACCACTGCTAAGAATGTTAGTGTAATTTTTAATAAGAATGATGAGACAGTGTGTCTTTTATCAGGTTCTGATCTATCTAGCTTAAATTAAAACTCTTTGTTATATTTTTCCCTATGCTTATTCAAAGGATTAGTGAGAAAATGTCACAGAACAGCTACTTGTATCCTCATTAACATTCATGGCAAAACCTTCCGGCCAGGCTGGTTTCAGTTGCTGATGGAGCAATACTTAAAAGAAATTGGCTTGTATGTGAAACAGCTGCTTAGCAATGTCACTATGCAAGGGAATTGGTGATAATAAGATGATACTATTACAGCTACACTGGGAGCATAATATATTTTAAGCTGCTTTGAGGTACACGGTGGAGGTCCAAGAAGTGGAGCATGATTACTTGTCTGTTGTTAGGAATAGGAAACAGCTGATCATTAAGTGTCTGCTCATATGGGTTAGTCTTACACAAAACCTTAAGGTAAGAGAAAAATTCTCATCTGCTGTAATTCTTCACTTCCAGTGTGTTTCCTATCTGCTGGAAAGGCTTTTTGTTTCTTTTCCTAGTGTTTGGAAGGATATGTATGTCCCATTGCTGAAACAGGTATTGCACTCTCTGCCATGACCATTGAGCAATTGTTGTTTCATAGGAACTTTTCTCATTTCAAGGCTTTATTTATTTGGCAAGATTCTTAGGAGAAGATTCTGTGGATCCTCATACATTTTTAGTGAAATCCCAGAAACTGATTTTGCTTGAAATGACCATCCAGTATGTCAATGCAATGACAAATATGCAATATGATGGTGGCAATACAGATGTGAGCATCTGCACATAAGGCTCAGCCAAGAAACAACTGGCAGCTGGCATTATGTTGTGTAGTGACTTATGCTAATGCACACCACTTGCCTAGAACATGCAAACTGAAGGAAGAATTATATTGTCAGATCTTTGGTTCTGAGCCATCTTTGAACCTCATATACTATGAGGAATAAATGAGTCTAGAAGAATGGAGCAGTCAAAAGTCCCAATAGAGTGACAGATCTTTAGAAATGTGGAGTACAAATGAATATGAAATGAAAGATTATAAAGGCTTAAGGATGCAAGAATTGATAGACAATTAAAAGAAAGGTATAATTTTTCTGATCATAGATGGTACCAAATTGTTGAGTAATTTCTAAAGCTGTCTGTTACAAATTTAATCTTGAGCTGCTTCTTCTTTTAATCATTGCAGACATTCATTTCTTGTATAGATTTGGAAGTACCGTACTTCAGGTGAAACAAAATATAAAACTGACACAGAAATTATATAGGTAGCCAGGAGGTGGAGGGAAGGGAATCTTCTCAGCTCAGCACTGATAAGGCCACACATGGAGAGTTAGGTCCAGGTCTGCACTCCCCAGTACAAGAGAGATATGGACACACTGGTGCAATCCAAGCAAGGGGCAGTAAGATGATGAAGGGACTGGACTACCTAATCTAAAAGGAGAGGCAGAGAGAGTTGGGACTGTTCAGACCAGAGAAGAGAAGGCGCAGGGGATCTCATCAATGTGCATAAATATCTAGTGGGGGGATATATAGCCCAGTGACAGCAATGGGTAAAAACTAAGAAAAAACAAAACAAAACAAATCAGGAAATTCTATGTAAACACAAGAAAACACTTTATTGTGAAGATAGTCAAACACTGACACAAGTTGCTCGAAGATGCTGTGCAGTCTCTATCCATAGAGATATTAAAAATACAGCTGCACATGATTCTGGGTGATCTGTGATAGCCTAGCCTGCTTGGAGCAGGAGTGTTGACAAAGCCACCCCCATCACATCTCAGCCATGCTCAGATCCCGTGATTCTTTGTAAAAATGTTTGTCACATCAGAGGCTAAAGAGACAATGTACAAGTTACAGTAGATTGAGTTTCCTTTTAGATTAGATCATGAATAGGAATCTGGGGAAAATCCTGAAAAGGAAAACAGATCTCAAATTTCCTCTCAAAATGGAAAACATAACATCATATCTATGCTTAAGTTATCATATCTAAGCTCTATGGTTGTGGGGCAGAAAACAAATTAAGAAAGATAAGGCTTATGAAGGTCAGATCAAAAATCTAAAGAGCACACATACCTCTAAAAAGTCTTATGTTCCAAAACTTAGTATTACCCTAAGACATCTAGTACAGCATTAAAAAAACCCTGTAAAATCTACAAGATATTCCTTTGATGTCCTTTCATGAGTTCTCAAAATTATATGAATGTCTGAACAAAAAAAGAGCTTGGCAGCAACTATAGTTGAAATTAACTCCTCAAGGGACCAACACTGATATCTATCTCAGCATTACTTAGGTATTCATATATTCATTTGTTGTACAGGTAATACACAAAACTTCCATAAAATCATCACAATTGGCTGTATCTGTTTTGCTATTTGTGGTGTACTAGCATTAAATGGCAGAATCATGTATCGGAATTCCTTTGTGCAATCACAGTACCAAATTAAAAAACAAGCCAAAAAATGGATTATGCTCAAAGAGTTAAAAAATGGACATTAGCTACTGCTTTATACTGAAAAGCATCTTAGCATTTTAAACTGCAAGAAATCTAGCTGATTTTACACTGGAAGTCCATTAGGTAAATATATTTTTCCATTAATGTCTTTGCCCTTCTGGAAAGAAGCAGTTTTTTCCATATAAGTGAACAAAATTTGAATAGCTTTAAAATAGCATTGAAATTCTCAAAGCATACACAAAGTTCAAATCCTCTCTGATAAGACATCACATTGCAAATTCCCTTTAAAACATCAATAATAAGATAGAAAAAACAACTTAATATTTTATTCCAATTTTCTGTGGAGCAGATCCCAGAGGGGAGTATTTACACCCAATCCGGAACTTTAAGCCATACCTTACCATCAGTATTAAGACACAGAACTTCAGATTACTGAAAAAGCCGTCTTTAAACTCAGTGCAATACAGAAAGGCCTGAAGCTGGCAAAGAATTAACAAAGTGCTGTCTGAGCTCTGTGGTCAATGAGCCCAGCGTTTTCAGTGTGTTGCATGGTCACTGAACATCAGTGATCACCCCAGTTTCCTTCTAGGAAAAAAAAAGCCCTGTGCATGCTCTAGATGTATTGAAATGTCTGTTCTGCTTGCACACTCATCTTGTAATACTACACGCAAATTCTAGATTTTTTTTTTAAGATCCTTTGAAAACAACTAGTTTTTTTTTTTTTAAATCCACAACTTAAAAAAATTACACTTTTACATTAAAAAGGGAAGTCATCACAATTCAGAGCAGTGCACGGTCATCCCCACCTTCCAAGGACATTCTCTAAATTACATTAGCATCTGATCTGCTAGAGACTTTCCTCCAGCTCCTCTTCATATTACACTTTTCCCATTCCCTTTTCTTATAATTCATTTTTTCTTCTGTGTCACATTGAGAGAATCAATATTAGAAAAAAAAAATCTTTAATTGGATAATAATACAGAATTACCCTAAGGAGTTAGAGGCATTTTCACTTCTTTCTGAATGGGACTGAAGAGTTTTGAAACAAGCTTCCAAGTTCAGAAATAACACTTCCACAATTCTCCTAAATGTGTGCCTATGATCCATTACCTAGGGTTAGCCAGCTTTACCCACCTATTTTCAGGCTTTCCACCCACATGCAGCTCTGCAATTCCCTTTGCAATGCTGATTTACACCTCTTAATGCCATACTCTTTTCAACTTACACATATGCAGAAATGCTCAGGGTGACACTTTCAACACAAATACAGATTTCATATTTAGATAAAACTATAATTTGAAAACATGGACACAACCATAAAAACAGCTTAGTGTTCAGTATCAAAGACAAACACTTAGCAAACTGTCACACCATAACCTTGATCTTGAAAAGATCTTATAAAGGCTGATCACAAGGAAATAAAACCCTCAAAGTGTTCTTTTCTGTTCTTTATAGGTAGAAAAAATGGGTTCAGTACTGCTTAAGTGGTTTGTATGATAATCTCTCTCAAACACAACTTGAGACCTTAGTGTTTGGAAGCCAGAAGCCCTCTTAGAGCCTCTGTACATCACAAGAAAATCATGCAGGAAAAAACAACAACCTTAAGGCTATAAAAAAGCAGACTACACAAATACTGCTCTGCAATAACAAAAATTAGGGGAGATCCACCGTTCATCTTGCAACAGTGAACATAATTACAAACGTAAATTTTGCATTTGAAACTAGGAGACAAAAATTATAAACCTCTCTATGCATATCTAATCTCTTTTTTCAACATTAGCCAAGCCTGCAGGCACTTAACAGTCTGATTCTTGATGTCATTGTAATTAAAGGCAATACTCACAAGGCTGATAAGCATTCCAGCTGTATATTAACCCTTATCTTAGCAAAACTGACAACTGAAAATGTGATATCTAATTGTAAAGAAAAGAACATTGGAATTTATTATGGGTATTATGGATATTATGGCTTTTAAATCAAATAACCTTGAAAATAAGTAAATTACATCCAGCCTACCGTCAAACTTCTTGTGCCGGGATACGAAAGTCGTGCGTACAAAGTGACTTGTCTCCTCCACTAAGTTTTCAAACTCCAGTTTGCTCTGTTGGCTTAACTTGTCCTCCATTTCTGAGGTGCAGCATGTATATTCCTGAGGGCAGATTCTCAAATGTTCCCCTGGAATCACAAGAAAAGAAGAAATTAGAAATATTTGATTACAGATAGAAATGTGCCAGAACCAAAAAACACATGATGGGTCTTCAGTTTTTGTGGGCTACCCACGGAGCTCTTTAAGGCTTGACTTAAAGAGTTTGACAGGAGACATCTCGAATTTGTATCAACAACTTTGCTATGGCTGGGTATTCCTCGCAGGGGAGAGGAGACACACTTTGTAGAGTTGTTTTTATACTTCAAAAAGTAAAATTGCCTCACACCAAAAGTGTTCTCCCACTCTGAAGAAGCCTTCCACATTTACTGAAGCATACTTAAAATCTGAAAAAACAATTGCTTGCTTTCTGTTTGTATTCAAATTGCCTGGAGAAATATCTAGTGAGATGACCTATTACAAGCCACTGGATCTGTCAAAAATTGCAAAACAAAAATTATGCATTTGTTGTCAAAACCAAGTGCACCAAAACATTGTTTCCTTCTCCCCTTCCTTCCCCTCTTCTTAAGTGTATTTTAATGATTGTGTTTGGGTTTTCTTGGGCAGCATTTCTTGTCAGACTGAGCAAGTGCTCTGCTGAATAGGAGAAAGCAGTGAAGAGTTTAATTAATGCTTATGTTATATGGAAATGCAATGTAAAAGGTAATGAAAGCCTCTTATTTAATTCAATAGATTTATCTCTTGAAGCACTCTGCCATTTCTTCTGACAATATTGCTTTCTTCAGTACAATTTGCACGTGGAAACCAATTCTTCAGCTCATGAAATTAAAATGGTCTGTTATTACATGAAATGTGAATTTCCAATTGACACTGTACTAAGGGTGTCAGAAACATTTAGCTTGGTTTGTACAAAGGCAGAAATCTTACCATTTCCTCTTGAGAAATAAAGAGAATGATCTGCCTGTATGATTAATGTTACTTGCAAGGCAATGAAAACATTTAGCTTTCTGTACACCAAATCCTGATTAAAAATCCCTCTGCAAATCTCTTAAAGGTGCAAATAAAATGATATACAAAGCCCAAGGGTTAAATAAATACGGGGGACCTGATTCTCATTTCTATTGAGGCTCCTTTCTACCACTGCTGAGCCATAAAGAAGACTTAAATGCAATTTATACCTACTTTAAGGCTGCTTTTCACCATTCTTATTATGTAGTGAGGAGAACCAGGCCCTAAGTTTTATGCTTCCCAGGGGTATAATACATTTAGCTGCTGCATCATTTTGAAGACAGCATCAAAAAGAGGTCTGCACATGCTTAGAATAAACACTGTCTTGAGTTTGCCCTCACCTTATTCGAATTTATGTTTCAGTTCTTGAATGAAGTCTTTTAACTTGGAATTTAGTCATTCCTCAACCCTGACTCCTCACCCCATCTTAATTTGTTTTTTCTGCAAGAGTTCGTAATATATGAATTATAATGCCATGAGGTTTCTTTTAGCAGTCTCAAGACTTTTTAAAAGTTCACAGCTATATATCTTCAGAAAGGATCACTTTATTATTATCAGTTACTGTTTGGCAGCACTACCTACAAGTCCCAGTCATGTCCAAACGAACCATGATATAAAACTTTGTATAAAACTGGGAAAAAATATATCCCATGACCACCAAAATATTGTAAGGATTGCTTCCCATGTCTGCTACACCCTCCCACCACAAGAAATTAATTCCTCTCTATCCTCAAAGTCACACATCTAAGCCATAAACAACACATACAGGCACCGGTGAGCCAGCTGCTGTCAAACATAAAAGATAGTGGCAGACTAATGTTTGCCTTACCCTCTACATCTCTGTCACATCAAACTGCAACTATTCAACAGGTAAGGGAGGTGCCATAATAAGAAACAATAAAGGTTATTTCAGTAACAGTAATGTGAGTTTTTATTAGATGTCAGAAAGACAAGTAAAGTTGAAATATTGTATCATTAGAAGCAGTGCTGTGTGCTTGATTAAATAAAAAAATACCCCATCCATAATGTCTGCAACCCCCTTTCCTCAATAAATCCAGGGTTTTTTCCTAATTGAAAATACCTACTTTCCCAGTTCCAGTCAGAGTGGTAGTTTATGCTTTTTATTATGATAATATCCGCTGGTGCCATTGCAACTGAGAATTTTTATAAAATTCACTTTTCTTTCCTCTCGTCATCTGAAGTTCTTATGCTTTTTCATCTGGCTCTGTTTGTTTCTCAGAATTGTCAGGTTATAAGCTGGTAATGGTAATCATCATGGCATTGTGCTTAGTAAGTAACAGCCATGAGTCCAAATTTTTTAAGACACCATATTAGGCTGAATATTATGACAAATTAAATTCTATTGAATGGTAATTTTTGGAGGAATAGTAATTTTTTCTTTCTCTGATTTATTTAGAGTCTTAGTTTTGCTTTGCTACAAAAATTATTTCTCACTTTGCCTGCTACAAATTCATTCAGATTCCTAGTGCATTGTTTTCTTTTACATGTATTTTCATTAAGTTTCTTCCTTTTAGTTCACTGGTTATTCCTTCGTTCATGAGGCTCTTGACTAGAAACTCACATTTATCAGAAACACTCACAGCTTCCACATGATCTCATTGACTTTTTCTCCCAACAAAACGTCTTCCTAAATCATCTAGCCAACTGCCCTCATCACAAAAATCTTGCTGTAGAATAATGTTTTTTCAAAACACATTTCTAATTCTTCTCTCCTCCCTGTCCATATATTCTCTGCATTTCTGTAGAAAGAAATAATAATGGAAATATTGTGCTACTTTTCATATTCTCTTTCGAGATTTTTGCTTCCTTCTCTTTCCTTCACTGGAGGATCAGGTCAGACGACAGATAAAGTAAAAGAAAAAGCACTTTCCATTGATCCACACCAATGGAATCTTTGTATACCTAAGATGTTCAAGTTAATTTTGTAAAAATAAAGCTTTTGAAATTTTTGCTCTTAAGCCCTGCAATGTTTCTACTGGTCATGACTGGCTGCAGTTTCCAGAAGTTCATAACTTGGTCAAAAGGTTTTGTGCTTTCCTGGGAATGGCAAAAGGAAACTCTCTGGCAAAGTAATTTCTGTATGCTTAATCTTTTCTTTTCCTTTTAAAAAGTATGATTCTCATTTTGTGCTTGTTATTATCAAACCTCCAACTAATGTTAGAATTGCCAGGTCATTAGTTTACTCCTTGTTAAAAAAAAATGGACACATTTTTCTTAGCACAAAAGTAGGGGGTTTGTTGGGTATTTACATTGTGTTTTGCTGGGGGTTTTTTGGTGGATTTTTTTTGATTTTTCTGTTGTTTGGTTTTTTGGTTTGTTGTTGTTGTTAGTTTGGATATTTTTAATTAAGGGGTGTGTGCTTCATTTTGGATTTTTTTTTCTTCTTTTGTGCAAATCTGTGACCTAAGGGGCTATTTGGATTGGAAATAACTCTGCAGGATAATTTGATTGTGCTTCCTCTGATTTTTTGAATTGGATCATTTACCATTTGCATTTTGTAAAACATTGTTCTATTACCATAGAAAGTGTTTAATCACTAATTTGTGTATTTACACACCTCAAGTATTTTGCAGGATGAAAATGTGCTCATAACTAATGTACCAGTTCTTGCCCTGGGAAACTCCATATGGTCTACGTTCTGATGCTAATTTTAGCAATGATTTTTATGGCACAAGTGGCATTGGTTATAACTGACTAGTTTTTCCTTGTTGCAAATGGTGTCTCCCCAAACAAGTTTGACACAAATGTAGTTACACTGCACCAGCATTCTGCCAGGCTGAACAGCTACTAACTCAATATTTCCAGCGACTTACCACAACTCTTCTAACCACTGTTTCCAGCTGAAGATGCTGACCTACATATCTCTCCTCATGTGGCTTATGTTATATAAATCAAATCAATTGCCTACTACAAATTCAGCTACCAGTATTCAATTTCAGTTTTATTACAGCTGTAATCTCACACCTGCCTTCACATGATCCAAATTGGCAAGTTTTGCAGTTGAATTTGGCAATCCTGCTAGCAATGCTGCTTTGAAGTGTGATAAAGCAATTTATAAAGCACTTGTTTTATATTCAGATGTATTACTGTTTGGTGTCCTTAAAATGTACTACAAAACTCAGAAGTCTTTAAAAAACTGCAACTTACAGCTCTCAAGCTGAATAAATGCTTTCACTGCGTATCAAAATGCCAGAACTGATCTGAGAGTGGTAACTGCTTGCAGAAGATACAGTCTGAAGGATGAGTAAACCCTACAGAATATAACATTACCCTCAACAATTTAACCACCAGATTTCCTGAACACCTTGGTTATATTATTAGGAATGGAAGTATTATCACATAACATATTTATTATCAGGCAGAATTTTTTATGGGTCATGTTGCAAGTTTAGCAATTTTGGAAGCAATTCTTTCTCAGGTAGTCATAAATTTATAGTTCCTATTCTAATCATAAATTTAAAGCCCTGATAGTTGTCTATTCACAGAATGTTAGGACTAACTATATGACTGGGGAGAATAGAAACAGAGTCATGACCCTGCTTCATAAATCCAGCAGCGAATAAAATTCTTAAACAAAAGGGGTAAATTAAAGATGTGCTTTCAAACTTGATCACCTTGTATGCATCAACAGAGCCTAAAAAGAAGAAAAGGTATCTCTACATTCTTCATCTTGCAGGCTTGATGTGATTTGGCTTTGTCATTAGCTGTGCTCTTTGAAACTTGAAATACTTGCTTCAGACCTGCACATATTCAGCCACTTGTGGAGAAAGCAGTGGAATTTATTAACAGTAGGAACTTTAACAAAGACAAGTATCTAGTCCTGCACCTTGAACAGAACAGTAGAAGAGCCCAGTACATGCTGACACCTGTGTGTCTGGGGAGATGCCTTGCTGAAAAGGATGGGGGCTTCTGGAGGACAACCAGCCAACATGAGACAACAACATCCTGCAGCAGCAGCAGCAGATGTAAATCTGATAGTGGGTTGCATCCCCAGGGGCATTTCTAGCAGAGGTAGAGACATGATCATCCCACTATACTCAGT